ATCATACTCAAATTCACTTGAGTAGTCACAACTCGGGCTAAAACAAGAAAAGCCTCTCTAATCTCTTGCTTAGTCAAGTACGGATAAGCTACCGACACCTCATTATCTCCTTCAACATTAGGAATATGATCACCTTAGGGAGGCACTTGAGCAGCTTAAGCATATTGCCCATCTTGAAAAACTTGCTCAACTTGAGGCGGAATATCCTCATTCATCCTCTCCTCTTCCAACCTTCTAGCGGCCATCCTTCCTGTATTCATCTCCTAGAAACACAAGGAAACACATTAAGAAATATACTCATAACATTCACTCTACCACACGACATAGGAGTAGAAAAGAAGGGAAACTCTATTGTCCTATATCCTCTTGCCCATAGATGTGTCGCGACTCACACCGATGGTCAAGACTCTACTAGAAGTGACTTGATGAGACTTTTTGATTTCTAATACTACTTTCACAAACATATGCTCTGATACCAGGCTTTGTCACATCCCAATACCACATCCTAGAAGTTAGGGTACAATCTCATATTTTAACCGGCGTACTCGACCTCTCAGAGGTTTTATACAAGACCTTTAAGATCATTCATTGCATAAACATAGTGAAAAGTAGTGCGGAGTTACAACTTTTCACAAAACATAATATAATCTTTAAAAATCTCTTTCATATAGATAAATAGGAAATACTAAGTCTCAATCTCATCATCTTAAGACACAAGAATACTTGGGACATGGCCTATACTTCAAAATACGAATATAGAAATACTTAGTCTATTAAAATACTTCAATAAGAAACATAAAATACATATATGCCCTTGAGTCAAATGATGACATACTTCAATTTCTTTTGAACGAATGCTATGGTCCAAGTCTTCACTTCTCAAAGATCCTCACCTACCAAGAACTATATAGATAGATAAAAGCATAGAGTTAGTACAACCACATGTACTTTGTATGACATTATGCATAAAAATCACAAAAAATGGACATTTATTGGAAATATGCATCTTTTCATTAAAAAATCATATTATAATCATAAGAACAACATTTAACAACTTAGAAACGCAGAATATAACATTTAAACAAATTACAACATTTTTAGGCTCACTTAACAGTGAGTCGATTCACTGTTACAGTGAAGTCTATTCACTAGACAATGAAATTCTTAACCTACACTTTAGACACCTTTTAGCACATAATTATCCCACTCAAAGCTATCCTAAGATTCACTTAAGTCACACAAAGAGAGACCTCCCATACACCATCTCTGGATGTGCCTAAACAACCCTTAAGATTTCATATAATGAGTCACATACACACTTACAAAGCATCACAAACATCAATGTAAGATTCATCTACCAAAGGTGACTCTAAGTCTCACTTGATTGAGTTGTGAAGCGACCGCCCATACAATCCCTTACACACACACTTAAGAGATCCTATAGACTCCCTAGAATAGAATCATTCTCACTTAATACACCAGGCATAGATGATATGACATTGTTCTTCCAAAGTCTATCAAAAAACCTACTTAAGTAAATCAAGAAGATAACGTCCATGATTGACCTCTTCAATATTACCTAAATAGTCCTTAAGATTACCTAAGGCTTATATCATGTCCACAATACCGAATATCTTCCCTAACTAGGCTCATCCTTAGTACTTCCAAAGATAAGACATGAAGAGATCATCTCTTATGCCCTCTTAACACTTTAGCTAAGGAATCCTTAAGTCACTTTAGATTAGGTACTTATATATTTACATACTTCTTAACATATGTCTTTATTTCATTAAGACTCATACATCACATAAAGGACATTCAAGTAATGGTCTTGTACAAGACTTAGGAACTCAAAGTAACACCTTCAAAGTCTATTGTGCAATGTCTAGATAGCGTCCTCTACCACCACCTAAGCCTCATAAAGTTCTCTAATACTAATAGGTATTCCATATAATTATAATAGGAAATAACCGACATAGACCATGATAGCAAGACATGGAATCCGGAGTTCTATCCTACTCTGATGAGGTTGTTCTACTTTCCAAGGGTAGAACTTAGACACATTCCATGTAGGCACATGGTTAAGGAATATGAAGGGCATACTTTGAAATCTAGTATCACACCTTAACTAGAACTACTTACCTTACCATACTCACTCGGTGCTAGACTTCTTTCCCATAGGGTAATTCACACATTAGGTTCACATAAAAGGGTATTATAACAATTTCATAACCCAATAACATTTACCCTACCAAAGAAGGTCCACTAGGGCTACCTTACAATGGCGACAAAAAGCTCATGATGAATTTCCTAAGGATTAATATGATGTCGTTCCAGCCAATGAACCTTAAGTCTATCATTCCTTTTCTTTGAAGGATACCATTACGGCTTACAACTTCAACAACCTTAACTATACCACTAAGTCAATGTCTTCGCATTAAAGACTCTCTTAAGTTCATTTAAGGTCACATGCATTCATACATTCAAGACTAAGAGTTATAACACCCTAAATCAATACATCACATATTCATAATCATACATATATCAAGCAAGGGACACAAGTCAACCAAGACAAGACACCACATACTTTACTTTTAACTCATAATGCAAGTCATTCTAGAAGCACCTAGAAACAAACCTAACATCTTCAATTCATCCGATATACTATAATAAAATCATCAATTTAACCAATATAGACTCATATAGTCAAGTAGGAATAACCAAGACTCAACCCTAAGACTCTACACATAAGGTCAAAGTCATAGTCTAACATGATCACCTAAGATGATATGAATAGAAGAACACATATATGACTTCACATGTAGATAGGTATTGTCATTCTTAACATAATAAAACTACACAAATAGTCATATTACTTCAAGTAATTTCCGACAAGGCCAAGATCATCATATTGCATAAAGTAATGCCGAAAAAGGTCACATAAATTTTAAGTAAACACTTAACACCGCACCATAAGTGGACCATATCCATCACAATAGAATCGAAGTATAAAAAATATCAAAATAAGGAAATAGGGCAGCATACCCCCACTTCATCATCAACACCTCGATCGAAAGTCATCTTACTCAATTCGATAACACAAGACAATTACCCAAGGCCATAACTAACAATTCAACATAAAAACTACAATAATCAATGAACTATGTCAAATCAATGTAAATTGATCAATTTAATACAACCTAGATATCAATTTACTATAATTATTACATCAATGAATAGCCCACATAAAATTACATAAAAAATCATCAAAATTATATCAATATCAAGCAACCCAAAACTTAGTCAAAAACTAGGTTTCATCCAAATTCATGGGTTCATATGTAATTTTGGTTAAAATCATCAATACAACATCAATCTTATCCATAATAGACGTTTAAAAATAATTGATGCAAGAATCCATGGTAGAATCATGAAATCAGACAAGTCAACTTTGAAAACTTTAGAAAACATCTTGAGAATTGGGATCCTTGATGAAACGAGTTTCAAGGATCAAAAGTCATACCTCAATGATTATAATTCTTCACTTTGACGAATAATTTCCACTCAAAACGTCACACCAAGATCTTCCTTGATTTTTGACTTCAATGGGGAGTTCTTAAGGGATTTTAGGGTTTTAATTTGGAATAATGAAATATTCTAAGTGTTAAACACTTATATACATGTTTAAAATACCCAAAAGACCCTTAATATACCGCCAATACCCTTATTTTGAAGTGCTGTGAAATTACAATATCACCCTAACTTAACAGTAAAGCTGCACGCTGGACACATGCCAATCGACGGTTGCCCATCGACGGGGCGTACATCCATTTACGGGTCGTCCTGGCCTCCGTCGATGGGTTCAGATACTTTGAAATGGATATTTTCTCCGAAGTGTAAGTACCAAATGACTCCACCACCTACGGGGTGTCAACCAAGCCAGTGGCCGTCTATTGACCTCCATAGGTGGACTGCCTTTGGGCAATTTTGGACGCCAACATGTGTCCTTCCTCAAGGACCCTTGGTCTATCCTTGGAGATTTTTTCTAGAAGTTTTCAGCACAAACATGATCGTCCATTATTTTATCACATAATAAATTACGTTTTTAGTATAAAGTTTTGTCATTTTCTTTATGCATTGTCTTGATTTGTAATTGTAAGTTTCCGCATGATGCCCTGATTACTTTCAAACCCAACAAATCTAACCTAACAGAAAAAGATCACTATATACAAGACAACATTCTCAAAATATTACAATAATAATAACTCATACCAATGCACAAATCAATCTAACCCAAAATCATATGAACACCATAAGTTGAAATCAAATAAACAAGTATTTTATTCTCTAGTCTAACATACCAAAAGAGAATACAAATCGCAAACCCTAAGTAAGTTGCTTTGACATCATAAATATAATAAAATAGAAAAATGACTTTCAAAAATATAGCCATAAATATGGACAAACTCGAGCTACTTTGAAACCCTAGTAGTGAAGAAATATGCTAGCTACTTTGTAACAACAGCGAAAATAACTGGTGAAATGAAGCTTTTTTGGGTCCTTTTTATGAAAAGGGTGAAATGTGAGGAAAAAAGTGAAATTAGGGCTATTAAATCATTTATGTGGAGGTGGGTGGGGTGGGTGTGCACATGTGTAGGTCTATATGGCATATTAATACACACATTACAGCGCATAACTCTTCCTTAAACAGAAGGGTAAGTCTGGTCCATTAGTTTAGACAACACGGATACTATTGAGCCAAAATAAAGTTTAAGGGTATATTAAATTTATTTTGAATAGTTGAAGAATATTTTTTACCCTTTTCCTATTTAATAAGTATCAATTATTAAGTAAGAATCTCAACATAATTTAAAAGAAGATTGAAAAATAACCTCAAATTCGGCCCAAAAGCCATATGTGAAGCCCAAATCCAAATCTGCCCCAAGTTAAGACCGAAACCCTAAACCTATCTTCTAAATCAAAATAGTTGTTGCCTCATACCATTTGTTTTTCTAATTTTTTTCTTTTTACAGAGAAAACTCCAACTACTTTTAGCCAATGATAGATTCACCAGTCATAGTTCCGTGCAAATCTTGAACAGTTCTTTAGCTCTTTTCCTTTCTCCCTCTCAGTGGCAGATTTGGCTAACATAAGATTCCAAGAAACTTCTGCAAATTGTAAAGAGTAAGTTCAAAGATGGATTTTGAATTTAAAACGACTATTTGATTCTTGAAATCCCTCTAAAACATGAGCCAAGAACCCTAATTCATTCCTATAAATACCAACATTTTGCATTTGAGTTCCGAATGTTATTTTGGGATCTCTATAGCAGCCTTGCTATTTATTTTTTCAAAAAGAAGCTTCTCTCTCTCTCTCTCTCTCTCTCTCTCCACATAGTTCAAATTTGTTGAATTTGGACTTTAATGTTGTGTATGTAAGGCACATATGTTTGCTTCATATTTGTCTGCTTTGAGTTTGGTTCGAAAATCGTCATGTATCTTGTTTGATGTTTGCAGTTTAATTTGTATCCCAAAATGTATTTTGTGGCATGACTTAATTTTGATCTATTCTTAATTTATTCAATATCGATTAAAATTTTCTTACTAATCTCTTTACCCTCTCTTTACTTGCATAAACATTGGAGCAAAAACAGAATCTGAATTGAGGACCCTTGCAAAAATACAGTCCCATGGACTCATTACCATCATACCAGCATATGGAGGCTATGTCTTTGACTATCTGTAATAGCAAGCAAAGTGAGTGAAACTCAATTGGAGTCACCTATGTCGATTTATATCTTTAGTATTTATTCGTTTTTGTTGATTTTTCTTAACATGATGAACTGACTTATGTGATTTATATGTGTTTTCATGTTTTTTCTCTATTGGGATAATTGACATAGAAAAAATCGTCACGTTTAAATCTGATTACTTACTTACCCACAACATAATTATCGATAAACTATCTATCATATGTGAGCTTTTCCTTTGTTGAAAGGAATTTAGCATTTATTTAGGCTCAAAATTTTTGTAAATGAAGAGTTTTTATGGGGTCATAAAATAGATTTTGTAGTGTTCTTTTTATAGCCATGACTTTAGAGACTAATAAAAAAATTTTAAGCAAATGACTTTTTTATCTTCTTGTTTTCAAGTTTTTGTCATTCTGTTTCAATCAATTTTCAAATGTACAATGTGTTTCAAGGTGCAAACAAATTTTAAGACATGAACATTAACTTCATATACTTAAACCTTTCTTTTACGATGCAGTTCCGTACCAATTTTTGTACAAACAATTTTTGTTTTAATTAAGCGATTACCTATTGTTTTCAAAAATAAAAATGCAAGTCAATTGTTTCCATATATAAAAGTGTTTTGCAAATGTTAAAATGTTATCCACTCGTGGTTTTTTGCAAATTTTGCTGCATTGTTTTTTAGTTTAATTTATTAACCTAGGTTTGACCGATTAAATATTTATTAACGAATCTTACAAGATGTCTCACCCCTTCCCTTCAAGAAAAATTGGAACCCTTAACTAGAATCGTATAAGGTTAAGTAGACCTTAATGTGGAGTTAATAGATCATAACTTTGGTAACATAGGTATCATAATTTTTTCACATAATTAGATGACGATTCCTTAAAATAACATTAAGAATCACAATATTTTGTATACAGTTTGGACCTCGAGTTGAAATGGGGTAGTACACCAAGTATACCCTTTGACAAAAAGGTGTGCCTTATAAAACTAACAATCTAAGACATTTTTTACTGCATAAATTCAATGACAACCGCTAGTCGATTTACCTACAGGAAGTGAGACTAGATATCAAGTACCACACGTATGAAAAAACCAAACATGGAATCAATCATAGTCATCCTCCCTTCAAATTAAGAAAGTATTTCTTCCATAGTCTTAGGGACAAAATAGAGAACAAATGAAACGAAGGAATAGTGGGGTGATGATAACTCAAGTAAGTGTAAAATGGGTTCGTAGTTTTAGTGAATTGTATGCCTTTTTGAAATCCAATTGGTTGTCTAGGAGGAGGCAAGTTCGAAGTAAAAACATTGTTTGACGCATGGCATAATTCACTGGAGAATAGTGGTAGATGAGGATGACGATAAGTTAGGAGTGATGGCCCTACAAGTAGATGTGTAGAAGTACCTGTACATTCCTCAAAAGTCGATACAAGTAAGATCTGAGAGGTAGGAACAAGACGTCAGAGACATCAGGATAATTAGAAGATATATAGTAAGGTTGTTATTCAAAGAATATGACATCGACATACATAAGGTATCGAATGGTAAATAGAATCAATACCCTTTTGAACCCAATAGTAACCAAAAAAGACACATTTAAGAGTACAAAGGTCTAATTTGTCTTTCATTGGGGTTTGGCTAGGTTGTGTACGAAGTATCTTCTCCCAAGGATATGAGGGAGAATAGAGTAGAGATGTGTCTGAGAAAACAATATTCAGACTAAAATATAAAGCCAACTTTAAACTATGACATCAAATGATATTATTTATGCAAATCATTTTTAGTTTTGTAGCCATGTATATGTCTGATTTCACACCAGATATGTAGCTATTATATGCCTTAGCTTCTGGCTTTGGCCAGATCATAGATCTGGTAAAAATATATGAATGTTGACCTTGGCAAGTAATTATATATTTGATGTACAGTTACAATATGTCTAAGTATAGTCATGTTAGGACTACAACCTCAGTCAAAGATGTTTGAACTCTAACCTTACTATGATCATAACTTTTGTAAAAATGTCTTCAAAATAATAAATATAGAAGCATATCTAGTTATTCCTTAGCTTTATTCAACAACAATGAATACAATAACTTCTTGCTTTACCCACAATATTTGCGTTATTTAAATGGGAATTATATTGAATCATTAGAAATCTAAGTAAGAGAATAATTGAAAACTTTCCCAATAATAAGGAAGAATCAAGTCTTTATATCTTAGAAGTTACTACACTGCTACTTTAGATTGAAATAGAGATAAGAAAGGAAGAAAAGGGTAGAGTAACAAAGAGGGCAAGATTGGAGACTTCCCAAGAGATGCGATCCACCACAAGATGACGCACCTATATTGAAATCAGTTCATGTAACCATTGATCCACTGGATAATGTCTCTAAAGGACAAAAGGAAAGTTAGAAAACGGATAAGAATAAACTGAAAACCTACCTCTATTTGGCTAAGAAAAACACCTGGCAAATAAGAGGAAGGTGTTGATGATCTATAGCAAGTAGAATACGAAGATTAGATTCCATAAGGTTCCTTGTGGCGACATGGGAGAAAGATAAGGAGATCAAATTGGAAACACTACCTTATAGGAAACATGTTATAGAAGTTGATAGCCTCAATTAATGGGCTGGGTTTTTCGTTTTAGCGTTGTTTTTGGTATACACCAATTTTTGGAATTGGTCTTTTACGTGTTTGTACTTGTTATAAGGTTTTTTAAAAAAGGAAAATATTGAGCTGGAGCTCCTTTTTTTTTTAAATAATGAAGTATGTAGAAAAAAGTAAAAGATAAAGCCATAATTCATTTAGACAAAAAAGAGTGCTAAAATGAAAATCAAAGCCCACTAAGATAGGCTATCAACTTCAAAAATGTGTTTCCCAAAAGGTAAGATTTTCAATTTGAGCTCCCTCTCTTTATCTACATGTTGCAACAAGAGCCTTCTGGAATTGAACCTTCCGGTTCCACTCGATTTAGGTCATCAATACCTTACTCTTGTTTTCCATGTTTTCTTCTTAGCTAGTAGAGGAAGGTTTTGGCGTTTTTCTTTTCCGTTTTCTTGATCTTATAATATTCCTTTTCTCCTTGCAGATACATCATTTAGTGGATCAATAGTTACCTAAGGTGGTTTGAACAAACTTTCCCCGTCTTGTGGTGGGATCGAAACTATCAACAAGTCTCCCACATTCCTCTCTTTCTTCCTCCACCCTTTTCTTCCTCTCTACCTCTCTATTTCCAGCTGAAGTACTAGTGGAGTAAATTTTAAGATATAAAGAGTTCTTTCTTCCTAATTAGTTAGGTTATTATTCTTTTATATGATTGGAGACATTTTCAATTATCCTCTTACTTAGATTTCTACTGATTCTATATAATTCTCATTTAAGTACCGCAAATAGTGCATGCAAGGCATGAAGTAGTTTAAATTATTGTTGTTGAATAAGTAAAGACAAATGATATTTGGGAGAAAGCTAAGATATTACTAGTTATGCTTTTAAAATTTTTATCTAGAAGACATTTTTACTAAAGTTATGTTCGTATCGAGGTTAATGTTCAAGCATTATTGATTGTCTTTTTTTTCTGGTAAGACTATAGACGTCGAGTAATTATACATCAAATATTAAATTACTTGTCATGGTCAACTTTCATACTTATTTTACTAGATTTCTGACCTTGCCAAATCCAGAAGCCTAGGCATATAAATAACTTCATACCTGGAGTGAAATTCATACATCTACATGTCATACAGAATTAAAAATGAATTGTGTCGTAGATTAAGTTTGAAGGCACATTATTTAAGCAATTAAGTATAAAACCTTTTTATTTTAATCTTTTCATCAGCCCACCCCCTTTTTCCACCGTCGAACGTGCCACCACAAGCCAAAGTTTTTAACCTATGTTTCGTTTCAGCCTTCTTACAATCCGTTTCAGCACTCGGAACAACAAATATTAGGGACATCTTGACTTTTTAGTCCCTCTTTGGACTTATTTTCTATTTCTCCAGTTATGGCCATATCAAGGAAATGTATTTCCTTCAACTGAATTCTAACTTGCATTGATTATCGTTTTCACCATTTTACTTATCTGAATAATGGTAGCTAATTATATTTTTCGTATAGTTTTCTGTTATTCAACTTTTACTTTCAGGAAAAAAGAATTAATATTGTCATATTTACCTCCTCAAGTTGGTGAAATTAACCCTTGATGAGGGAAAAGTGGCAAACAAAGATCATATTAGCAGTATTACCTCGAGTGTGAGAGAGTTGGTGAGGGGAGAAGTTATCATAAACATATTTTACACCTAACAACTTAGAATTTGGGGAAGGAAAGTTATGAACTTCGTTTCATGCATGTATATGTTATGCCTTTTAGTTTTTTATTAAATTTTGTATGATGTTGTTTACCGTGAAATGATATAATTAAATTTCTAAGGGAGGTTTAAAGGCATACACAAAAAATTGACCTTATTATAACGCAAAGGATTCCCTTTTTAATTTATCTATTACCAAAACTAGTCTTCCCTTAAGCGAAAAGTTGTAATTTTATGAAAAGTTGTGACTTTATGAAAAGTTGTGATTTTATAAAAAGTTGTGACCTTTATGAACAGTTACAACGTTTATGAAGAGTTGCGACTTTAATGAACAGTTGTGACTTTTAAATAAGTTTGTGACCTTTCCGAAGATTGTAACTTTTTCAAAGAGTTGTGACCTAAACCTAAACTTTGTTTGGTATAAACAAAAGGTGTTTTCTCCCATTATTATTTGCAGGTTTTTTTTCGTTCTAGGGTAATCAAATTCAAATACTTTAATTATGTTTCTTATTGTTGACACTCAATTTTAGCCTAACATTTTCAAAATTCGTAATTTTTAAATTTATTTATGTAAAAGTTCAAAATATATATTTTTTATAAATTTAAATAAATTTATCGATAACTATCCTTATTCGTCAAAATTTAGGATTATTTATTAGTTAATCTTAATTACATTTTTTTCACAAGCGGTTGAATGCATTCAAATACTTTTTTTTTATTTTGATCAAATCATAATTTTTGGAAAAAATTTATGTCATTAGTCACGTTTATATATATACATATATATATATATATACTAAAAACTTATTTAAATATTACGGACCCATCACAACCCACCGGAAAAACCACCCAAAAAGCCACCGAGCAGCAGCTGAAATAGCGCAAAACAACAGCTAAAACAGGGCCAAAACACCACCAAATCATCACCAAACAACACCTCCACCAGACCCCAAACACCACAGGTCCAAACACCACCCAAACCCCCCCCCCTCCCCCCCCCCCACTTTTCTCTGCTTCCTGGAGAGCTACAAGCTCCACAACCAGTTGGAAAAATACTTAAAATGACCCACAGAACAACCCCAAAAATCCACCCTAAACCCAGATGAAACAGCCGCTCAAACTGGAACAGCCGCCAGTCCCCTTCCCCGTTCCCCTTCACAGTTTTCTTTTGTTCTTTTTTTTCAACTGATGGAGCTTAATATCGGAGCAGCCACAACTTCATCTGTGGAGTAACAACCGTAAAAGCCTTCAGAACCACCAAACTACTTCATTTGTGTTCTTGGTCTATTTTTTGTGATAAATTGGGTGACTAGTGTTTGGTTATTAGTTTAATTTATTTGCTTTCAATCCAGTGATACTTAGTATTTAATTATTTATTCTGCATAACTTTAGAAAATTTAGCATTATTCATCTGTTATTCGGGATACAGTCAACATTCATTTTTTAATTATCTTATTTTTAAATATTACTTTGTCAATTTGATCTGGTGTGGGGTTCTTTATGGATTCATGAAGTAACAACAATATATGTGCATGTGCCAAGCCTCTTTTTAAAACTCAATTGTATATGTACGTGCATATAAAATTGTACATGAACTTGATTAGCATGATTTCAGTCGTGATGTAGTTTGATAACATTTCACATTAGAGATAGTGTACTATAATAGTATGCCGATTTTAGTAGAGTTGCGAAGAGTATTTTTTAGGCAGATCTTACAGGCTTTTACTTTCCCGAAAGGCTTATCCTTCTTAATATGTTGCATTAGTTGACACAATTTTATGTTGAAAACTTTGCATATGATGTCCACGCGGCTTGCGCCGGCGTCTTGGTTAATAAGGAGCAACATTGCATGTATTTCAGGCTACTTTGGGTTGCAAGTGAATGTCAGGAACAAATTTGGATATCCAGCCCACCTGCATATGGCCATTGCATCTTGATAATTTTGTGTCCGGTAGCAAGGTCCCCCCGTGTGGGACGAAGGTAGTATAATAGGTTTTTCCCACCATTGAGCAATTTGAATCTCCACGCACAACTGCATCCATCAATCCACCAAAAAGATCAGCCCTGAGTTATGTTTGATTATTGCGGATGTACCTAAATCTTGTTGTTCATCTTGTATTCCAAATATACTTACAACAAAACTTTGAACATCTTTGTAAGAAAATAAAGTTTAAGAACATTTTCACAACTAGAAAATTAAAACTAGAAGCGAAACTAGAATCAGAAACAGATTTTAAAAAAAATATACGAAATATATTTCTTAAAGGAGAATTGTTGTTAATATGTGTCTAAAGAATCTTACTGATTCCAATAAACTTTGCAGAAACATGAAGTTGTCAAGTTTAATGAACCAGTGAAAAACAAAAGAATAGAAGAACTGAAATTAATTCACAAATCTAAAGTTTGTAAAACACGTACCAAAATCTGGAAAATTTTAATAGGAAAAGATCAAGTTCACTGAATTCACAGTGTCCCCTTAAGGAAATTATTTCCCTCTAGTATCCTAGGTTTGATTTGGAATATGACCTCCCAGGCTAAAATGATCTCAATCACCAGAGTATAGATACAAAAAATCTCCGGTGTCAGCGAACCACTCAATGGCAGTGAAGTACACTTAGAATACTAGATTTAGTAGTTGAAGAAGAAGTCCATAAAATTCTATTTAAAATGAAACGAAATCCCTCAATTTATAGAAAATAAAGGATAGTGCGAAAAGGTTCTTATTGTGTCTTGCCGGAAAGGTCACAAACCTTTGGAAAAGTCACAATCTTTCAGAAAAGGCGTCACCTTTAATAAAAGTCACAACTTTCCATAAAAGTCAAAACTTTTCATAAAAGTCGCAACTTTTCATAAAAGTCGCAACATTTCATAAAAGTCACAACTCTTCATAAAACTCGCAACTCTTCATTTTCCATTCACACCTTTTTAAAATCCAACTAATCTTTCTTCTTTAATTGTCATGTACCCATCGACAATGTACTGTTGCAACAGCCTCCCACCTTGTAGTAGAGTATGGGCCTCATTAAGGCGTTGTTGTATGCGGTACCCATAAAATTGTCTAATGGTTAAGTTTTCATGCGCAAATGCTTTTTGGCTTTGTGAAACCAAACGAATTCCAAGCCTATATCCATCTTCGCCATATGGATGTATTAACGGGTAAGTCATTGACATGAAACTTGGGTGTAAATCTGTGATCCTTTGTAGGTCATTCTTACGGTGTTCCACAATTACGTCTCGCTGGTAGCTTGCATATGTTAGTTCTCCAATGATTAGTCCCGCTACTTCTGAAGCGGTTGGTAAGTTGTATTATCGGCCATCTGTGGTCCTTTCATTTAGGAGGCACATACGAAACTTTGTTTGTGGTTCTGCTCTATATCTATCCCTTGCCATACGAAATGATTTTACCAAAACATTATGCTCATCGAGCATTTCAGATATACCCTTTACGATTTCTGTTTCAACTTCTTCATGTCTCATATTTTTCATTCTATTCTCTATCTCATTATCCATATCATATATATAGAGTTGCACAAATTGTGGCATCTTGCCAATTTCTGGTAATAGTGAGCCAATGTTATGGTAATTTTGACCACTTATTAGAAATACATAAGGACCCATTAAACGATTTATTCATCTGTCAACTCGGCCTCCCATAGACGTGAACGCAAACATGGAGTTAAATACCCTAATATTTTTCCTATAGTTAATACCCAATTTTCCAGATTCTTGGCCTAAGAGGTATTTGAGGTAGGCTGGTGGTTCACTCAGTAACGGTAGTTGTACACATCCTTCCATACAAACAAATAGAAAACTTTGGGTGTTCTGGTTGTTTGCTTTTGTCGGTTCGTTCTTCATACCATAGAATGGCGCTGCAATATTGGCATGTGTATGTGGGAGGAGCCAAATTCCATGTTGTCTTGTATTCCACTGCGACATAAGTGTGGCGATAAGTATTGGATACACAAATATTGAAGTTGTTTACCAAACATATGGTTAATTGTATGAGTTAGTATGTATGTTGTTGTAGTATTATGTGATGTTATTTGGTTGTCTAGTAGATATATGGGTGAAGAACAAGTTACCTTCTATTTTTCGATGCATTTCTTTGGTAGTAATATATGTTTGGTTCACTATGGCGGTCAAGTTTATTATGTAATGCAGAACACAATGTGTCTGCTTTAGGGATGTGCTTTGTATTGCTTGTGGAGTAATGTTAGCTTGCGCTTCAATCGCGCGTACTTCCCTCGACACTTTTTGATGGTGGATATTTTGTCTGTCCTTCGAGTGCATCTGACTGATGACTTGTAAATCTTAATACTCTTCTTCAACATCTTGTCCTTGTTTGATAGTATCGGGAGAAATTGTTGCAGTTTCCTAATATCGGTCGGTATATTTGCAGGGTCATTAAATACCCTAACAATGTCTAACATGAAATTAATTGTTCCTGTCAGAATCAGTTGTTTAGAACGTTTTTGCTAGTATGATTACCAACCAATGTCTGTTGTATTGAATTATGTTTGGGCTACAACAATATTAGTAGAAGACGATGCAGTTGTTTGATTATTGTAAAAAAAAATAGTTGATTTCGACGATATGTTTTTGTATCGCTACAATAGGTTGTGTTGTATTTGTAATAGAGGATGTACTGTGTAACTATTTAATGTGATCCTTTAAAAAAGTGAAAAGGCTGGTACAAACAAATTGATAGGACCCAACGTTTGGGTGTTTTTGTTGTTATTATTATTTTGAGTTTAATTATGGCCATATAGGTGTATTACTTTTCACCTATAATATTTTTAAATTAGGCGTGACATATTTCATAAAATATCATTTAAATAATATTTTTGTGTGCTCTGCTTCATTTCTATCGTACATTTGGTGTCTATTTACTGTTTCTTATTCTCTTATACCACTGCAAGTGAATACATTGGGGTTCATTTGGTATTTTTTTTCCTTTATAAGGTTTTGTGTTAGTTTTAATCGAGTTGCATCCGATGAATGTGGTGTATTAATAATATATGTGGAAGACTATTTTTATAGAGGCCATAGTTGTTGATTTTCATACAGGCGTTTGCATGTTCTATTGGTGCGGGAGAGGTGGGATGATTTCAAATTTTATCAATAAATATCGTATCAAATTAAACAATTCCTTATTTTCATCAATGAAATACTGGCAGCCTAGCAATAGACGGTGTAGCCATTTGTATTTATTGTGGATTGTATCCTTCTGTTAAGATGCAATGTCCGCTTAAAAGTTGGAGAGGTGATTTTTCCATGACTTCATTACTATTCTGAATGACATTTTCCAAAATTCATAATATCATAACTGTGTAAAAGGTAGATATATGTTTAAAATAAATTTATTTATAATCTAGTTAATGTGCAAGTTTGTATGGGCACATAATGACGATACTGACTAACTACAATGAGTTTCTCTGTTCATGTATATTTTATACACGGACGGATGTTCCTCTAGTATACTTGTAACTTCATTGCGTTCATAGTTGTCAAGCATAAGATTTGTACTTGGATTTTCAATACTTAACGACTCGTTGGTAAATAATAGATTTTGTATACATTGTATAGTCCACCGCATTCTATTTGCTCGCATCAAATATAGAGGTGAAAATTTCACCATCTTTTAGATTCAATGAATTGTTTAAAAGTTGTAGAAACTATTTCAATGTTCTAATTTTTTTTAACAATTAAAACACATGCCAATGGATAGAAGCAATTCTAACAATATTGTGTCATATCCACCAAAATTTGTTCCTTGCATTGACCTTTCAAGAAGATTTCATCTACTATAACAAAGGGTCTCAATCCTTCTTTCCATCCCAACTTCACTGTATTGGCACAAATGTTTCATTCTAATAAATTTTATCTTATGTTTTTCCAATCCTCCTTTGATAAATTAATCACAATATTACGATCAAGATTGCTTAGCTTAAGCTCATTTGCATAAGCCCCAATTTTGTTGTAATCATCTAAGGAACTTTCTTGTGTAATTTTTGAAGAGCCATTCTCTTCGACATTTTCAACTTTGAGGAGATAACATTCAAGTTGAGTTGATCCTACACGTCTTGTCTCATATCTCTACGATTGTATTGAAGATTATTATACACTTCATTCTTGAAATAATATGTTAAAATAGTTGTATGAGCTTTATAATTTTTAAATGCATCCTCACAATTGTGATTTGTTTTCTGTGTTCTAACTTAAAATCTGGACCTTGACATATTGTAAATAAAAAAGACAAATGAACAAACACTCATTTATTTATAACTTCAGTTTTGTTCTGTCACTTTCTTCTTCTATAGGTTTGAAATTTGTATAAAAATAGAAATTCACAATTTTTCTTGCCTTATTCAAGTCCTTGAAAATCGTGGAGGGATGAAGTTCTTGTAGTGATTGAGTTCATCATTTACTTTTCTAATTTTTTTGCATCTTAATGATCTTTAATTGATCAAAATTATATTCAATATCATCAGACTTGTCATTATCGCTAGAGCCACTTTTTATGAAACATTAGTCTCATATTCACATTCTACCAAATATGCTTCACTATGGTGAATATTATTTGGTGTAGAAACAATTTCTTCAAAATCATCCCCATGAAAGAGATGAACTAACTTAAATTGTTTAGTTAATAAATATTGGAGTGTCCTAATTCCATTAAATCCTTCAATCAAGTAAAATTTTCCATAAGAGTGTTTCACAAATATTTGTTTCACAACAACAAGTTTTAATGTTATTTGTGTATTCTTTCACTATCTTATCATAGTCTAAGAGATCTACATAAATGTCTCTCCTAGTGATAACATACTTCTTTTCATATTCACTTTATATTGAAAAACTTTATGCACATTCAACAAGACCTACCAACCAATAAGACATATTCATTAAGTCATAGACATTTACATCACAAGACCAACAACATCAAAACTAGTCAAGTCCACATGCATATAATGTATTGAATACATAGTTAAGTAACTCTATCATCAAGTCATAATAATCATAAGTATGAATAAGAGTTCATTACAACATAACCAAAGCAAGACAATTACCCATGAACCCCTATTAAGTCAACAAGTATAATGACCAAGCAAAACCCTATAACCTTACTCAATCAAGTAACTCAAAAAGAATCATGACCAACATTCCAAT